ATTATTATTATTATTATTATTATTATTGTCATTATTATTATTATTATTATTATTATTATTATTATTATTATTATTATTATTATTATTATTATTATTATTATTATTATTATTATTATTATTATTATTATTATTATTATTATTATTATTATTATTATTATTATTATTATTATTATCATCATTATTATTATTTTCATGGTTTATTATCACATATTAGAAAATATTTTACCCTCATTTACTCTTTTTACTCCTTTCTGATGAGATTGCGTTATGCTTGGATAAGCTGTAAATTCTTTGATTAAATTAAAGTTTTTCAATGAATGCAAATAATATTTTAATTTCTCAAATTCATTTATATATTAAATAACAAAAACATTTAATTTAAATTATACAATCATATACATACAACAGAAATTTGCCTACAAAATATTTAATTAAAATTTAATAAATAAAAACAAAAATTACATTTCAAAAATTTTAACTTTCATTATGTCATGAAATTTTTATCAATAAAATTTAACAATTCTCATCAATTATGAATAAAAAATGAATTTAAGAAGAAATATTGAAAATAATGATTGTTCATTTTTTTTTTTTTTTTAATGACTTTAAGAGGACTTTTACTTTTATTATTAAATAAAATTAAATTTTAATTTTAAACAGAAAGAAATACCATGCTTGATAATAGGATTAACATTTATATCTTCTATTGATGAATCAAGCAAAATTGTTTCAAAATTTTCATTGTAAGATGAATTATGATTCCTATAATTAACTGAAACTATTATATTTTTAAAAAAATTAAAATTAAAATTAAAAAAAAAAAACAAATTAAAAAATTTATCATTTTTCATAATTTAATCATAATTAATCATTTGACTTACTTTATTGATATTTTTGTTATCATTTTTCATAATTTAATCATAATTAATCATCTGACTTACTTTATTGGCTTATCATGATATTTTTGCTTATCATTTTTCATAATTTAATCATAATTAATCATCTGACTTACTTTATTGGCTTATCATGATATTTTTGCTTATCATTTTTCATAATTTAATCATAATTAATCATCTGACTTACTTTATTGGCTTATCATGATATTTTTGCTTATCATTTTTCATAATTTAATCATAATTAATCATCTGACTTACTTTATTGGCTTATCATGATATTTTTGCTTATCATTTTTCATAATTTAATCATAATTAATCATCTGACTTACTTTATTGGCTTATCATGATATTTTTGCTTATCATTTTTCATAATTTAATCATAATTAATCATCTGACTTACTTTATTGGCTTATCATGATATTTTTGTTATCATTTTTCATAATTTAATCATAATTAATCATCTGACTTACTTTATTGGCTTATCATGATATTTTTGCTTATCATTTTTCATAATTTAATCATAATTAATCATCTGACTTACTTTATTGGCTTATCATGATATTTATTTTTGCTATTAAATGATGATAAATGATTTCCATTTGAATTTTGTTTGTTTTCATTATTAGCATCTATAACTGTTACTTTTTGAAGCGATAAAGATTGTTCCCTCTAAAATAGACCAAATTTTAGATAAAAAATTTTTTTATAAATTTTGATCATTTCAAAATTATTACCCTTTTTTTTTTTTTTTTATTTATTTATCAGTAATTTTATTTAAATATTTAAATTGATTAATGTATTTTTCTAAAATTGTTTCAAAAATGCATGAATGAAAATTATCTAAATAAAAATTATTAAAAATGACTAAATTTTACTACTCAAACAATTTATTTCAAATAAATCAAAATTATCATTTCAGTAAATATTATGCAATAAAATTAATAAGAAATGAATTAAATATCTAAAAATTTTTTTTTCACTAATCGATATTTATTTATTTAAATCCGAACTAATTTACATTTTTTTTACTTTTAAACTGACAATAACCTAAAAAAAAATTAATGTAAAATTTGCCGAATTGTAATATTATTAAGTAAGCAAATTTTCTTTTTTTTTTTTATTGTAGACTCAAAATTTTAAATGATTTTTGTTCATTTTTGTTAACTTAAGTTCTTATTTATCGATTTCTGTTTTCCTTAGTATTACTTAAAAAAAAAGAAATATCATTTTCTGAAGAATTACTAAGATATATCAGTTTTTTTTTTTTTTGTAATTTATAATTTTTAAATAAAATTTGAATTATTAATAATAATTAATTGCAACATACGATCTGCTTAGCTCGATCAATTTCCTTTTTGATCGTAAATTGACAAAGTGCAAGTGCAAGGCGTAAAAGAATAATGATCAGAGTTATATAGGTGAGTACTATAAGTACTAAAGCTTCTGTATCAAAATTTCCAGCCATTTATGACCTTAACGATGACCTTTAACGATTATCGATCATTGTTTAATGGATTGTTTTTATTTGGTGAAGAAATACATCAATGAAAGCTAACAAATGACGAATAATAATAATAAAAGATGGAAACGAATGGAGTATGGTAATTATATGACTTCTGATACTTTGATTGGATGGTTTGAATAATTTTATGAGCAGAATGAATGGAATTAATGATTGTTCTATATTACTTAGGGAAAAGAATTTTATGATAAATAAAACTTATTTTATAAAATAAAAAATAATTTGATAAATAAAACTTGTTTTAAACCCAAGTGAAATTATAAAATTATTTGTTATCACCTATTTTTTTTTTTTAAAAAACCTAAGTTGAAATTACAAAATTATTTGGTTTTTATAAAACCGAAGTGAAATTATAAAATTATTTGTTATGATCTACTTTTTTTTTTTATAAAACCTAGATGAAATTATAAAATTATTTACCGTTTTTTTTTTTTTTTTTTATAAAACCTAAATTGAAATTATAAAATTATTTGTGATTTTTTTTTTATAAAACTTAAGTGAAATTATTTGTAATCATCTACGAAAGATATTTAATAATATATTCGAAATTCATTGCAAATTTTTTAATAATAAATAAAAAAGATGCTTTAATTAGAAAATTCCCCTAGTTTGGAACTTTTCAAAATTGTAATTGTTGAAGTTTGAAAATGATTGAATAAAATTTTTTTTTTAACTTTAATAAATTGAATATTATTGTTCCTACAATTTCAAAGTAAAATTTCAGTTCAACCAAAATGACCATTTTATTCGTATAAAATTCATATATTTTTAAAAATACTTTAAAAATACAAATTTTATAATTTTAAAATTAAGCTTATCAAAGAGCGCACAATTTAACCGTCCACCTTACTCAAATGTTTATTGAAAAATGCTTTAAAATATTATTTTTTTTTCCAGCTGTTTACATATTATATAAAAAATATGCAAAATTTAGGAAACAAATTTTTTGCATAAAATTAAAATTAATTTCAAAAAAAAAAAAAAACTTATTTATTCTAATTTCTATTACAACAGAGAAAATACTTTGCTAGTATGAATTCTCTCTGTACGTAAACACTTTTCTTTTTCAAACAATTTTAAATTAAACGAATTAAATTTTGTTTAAATAATTTAACAAAAAATTTCTTAAAACAATTCCATATTATATTTATTTAATAATTATTTTTTATTTAACAAATATTTCTGAAAAATATTTATCTTTCGATTTATAAAATAAATGATAGATAAAATTAGCATTTTTTCATAAAAACTAAAAAATAATTAGATAATTTAATTTATAATAAATAAATTTGGTAGTTACATTTTCGGTGGCGCAAATTGTTATTCAATATAAATTAAAAAAACTGATATTTTCATTGTAAATTCAATTATATTTGTTAATATATTAGGAAGAAAAGAAAAATAAGAAAATAATTTCTTTTCATTTTCTACCTCTTTGCTTTTTATATTAAAATTTAAAAAAAAAAAAATTAAAATAAATCCTGTATAAAAGTATTATGGTATAAATAATACTTAAATGTAAGTATTACAAAAAAAAAACTAATTTTTAAAATTAAAAATCAAAATTTAAGTTATTCAAGCGAAGAATTTAATTACATTTTTTAAGCAAAATAAAATAAATTTCAAAAAAAAAAAAATTCTAAAGAAATGTGCAATTTTCTTCCTCAAATTATCATTTTTAATGATACAAAATAAAATTTTTAATATTTTCATTCTTTCCTTACTTTTCTTTTTTTGTTACAAAATTTTTTTTAAAAAAGAAAATGATGAATGTTAATTGTTAGAATATTGTTTAAATGAAGCAAAAAAAAATTTAGTGATAAACAATTTTTAACAAATCAAGCTATGGCTCCTTTTTTTAAAAAAAATTAAATTAATGAAATATTGAAATAAATAAAAAAACACCACTGATCTTTACAATTAAAATATTTTTTCTTTTGAAAAAGATATTATCTGTTAATTATTTTGCAAATATTTTCAATCATTTTCCCGAATTTTTAATAGCAAAAAAAAAAATGATTATTATATTTCAAAAAGTAATTCAATTTTTTTAATTAATCAGATATTTGTTCTTTTTTTTATATTTAGGCAAAAAAAAATTTAAATGATTTAATAAGATTAAATTTTAATTGCCTTTTTAAAAAAATTTAAATGTTATTTTTAGCTAATTTTTAAATATGTTTACTTAGTGTCACTATTGTCAAGTGCATACAGTGAATTAGACCGAATTAAAATAAAAATTTTAATTACAAATAAATTCATCGGAATTATCAAGTAACAATCGATGCCAGAAGGCATTTCTTCAGTTATTGTTTTTTTTTTTTTTCATTTTTAAATTATACAATTTTAAAAATAATTAAAACCAAATTTAAGCACATAACCTATTAATTAATGTACATAAAACATTGAAAACCAAAAGTGTATCATTTCCAAAAATTCTCAAATTAACATTTAAAATTTAATTTCAAAACAATAATAATTATATAGTAATCATCGAATTATTTTTTATTCCACCATAGCGCAAAATAAAACATCAGTAAAGCTTAATAAAAAACCAACAACTATTGATCGGTTATATCGTTTCAATTCCTGAAAAAATAATCTCGAAAATAAGTTAGATTCTTTTCAAAATTATTTATTTATATGATTTTGCTTTTTACAATTTACAATTCTTACATTTATAGAATTTTATTGTTTACATATTTTAATCAGTTATTGACTAATGGTTACTGATTAGTTGGTTTTACCAAATAAAGTAACTTCCGGTATCAGTCAGCTTAAAAAGAAGTTATAAAATTCGAAACACTACTATCATTGGCTTAATTTATATTTGAAATGCTTGATTTACATATATTTTTTTCAGCTTATATTTTTGATTATAATTAAGTTTATCTTTTTTAAAAAAAAATTCTTGTAATTAATATTAAAAAAAAAATGAAATTTGTCGTTGATCAAAAATCATGACAGGAAATGAAAGTAAAACAAAGTATACCTTTGGTTGTTAAAAAGGCTACCAAATAAATTTTTCGATAATGTATCAAGATCGATAAGAAGCGGATTCGATGATTTTATTGAATTTGAGGTTTCTGATTGAATACCTAATAATAAATTAAAAATTAAATTAAATAATCATTTTATTCATTTATTTTTTTCTCATGATTTTTCACTCTTTTCCCTTTTTCTCTTCTTTTTCTCCCTTTTCTCTATCCCTCTCTCTCTTGCTTCTCTTTAGATTGATTATTATTTAATTTAGAATAAATTATTAATTTGAAATTTTAAATGCATCTTATTCAAAAATTTTCTTACTTATTTTTAAAATACTCGATTGAAAAAAAAAAAAACATTTAATATATTTATTCCTTCTTCATTCGTATTTTTATAATTGATATAAATATAAAAAATAATAATAAATTAAATTCTAAACCTGAATTGAGCGGTTTTAAAAGTTGTTGTTGCCACTGTTGTTGTTGTTGTTGTTGTTGTTGTTGCTGTTGTTGTTGTTGTTGTACTGGTTGATACATTGATTGTTCAGAATTTCTAGTAATAAATGGCGTTGGTGCACGAGCAGAATGATAAGGGACAGTTTGTTGATATTGTATCTGTAATTAACTTTTATTTAAATTTAATTTTTTAAATGAAGAAATAGAAATTTTAAATTGTAAAATTAATTTTTTTGTAAAAACCACTTTTTGTAAAATTTTTTTTTGTAAAATTTACAAAATAATTTTTTTTTCTCTTTTTTTTTTGTCCTTCAATTTTATTTCACTCAATTGTTAGTATTGCCACGCAAACAATAAATCAGTTAAAAACAAACGTAACTACTTGAAAATCGTATAAAAAATTCTATTTTTTAAATTTATAATCTGTTTAAAACTTTTTAGCAGTTTCTGTAGTAAACACATAGGAAAAAAATGAATGAAATAAACAAATCAATAAAATTGAAATTAAACAAATAAATAAAAAATTGAATTTTTAGAATATTTTAGCATTGGTTAATGTCAAATAAGAATCTTTTCCTTCAGTTTATTAGTAGAAAAATTATTTATCAAAAAATCAAATTATTTGCATCAAATAAGAGTTCATATTATTAAAATCCATTTGTTTGTTCTATTAGAAATATTATGTGTAACGGTTATTTCTGATAAAATTTCTTTAAAAAATAAGAATGAGAAATTTTATTTTTAAAACTTTATGTTTGATAGAAATATTATTTTTCCATTCAAAATTTGTCAAAACCAAATATAATTAAATATCGAATTGTATGAGACAATAAATTTATATTTGTCTTAATTGAAATTTTTGAAATTTAAATTTAAATAAACTTTATAAAGCAACTAAAATACCAGTGGATGTTGTGGCTGTTGTTGTTGTTGTTGTTGTTGTTGTTGCAATTGAATAGGTTGATAATTTGGTGATATTGTTACTTTTGCCTGAGTGAAAATTTCAAATTTAATTGAGAAAAAACAATTATGAAAAATGATTTATTATTTAAAGCTAAAGTTTAGAATTATTAATTGTATTGGTTATAAACAATATAAAGAAAGAGTAATTATTATAAAAGTAGTTAAGATTTAAAAATTATCAAGCATTATTATAATTAATGCTTGGATAGGTTTATTTTTTTTTCCAACAATTTACTCTTTTAATCATTAATTTAAATACTGAAAAAAATTAATTAATCAAATGTCAGTTAAAAAAAAAATGATACATAGTTATATAGTATATTTTAGGTAATTAATTACTGATTTGTAATAAAAACCTGTGATTGATAATATGATGCAGTTCGAGCCTGAAATTAGAAATAAACTATAAAACTTAAAATTTATTTTTCTTTTATTTTTTTTTAAAAAAAAAATGAAAATATTGTAAAAAATGAAATTTGTTACTCGTTTTCATTTATTTATACTTATTATGATGATTTATTTAAAATTAATGAAATTAATATTTTATATAAACTAACATGTTCATTTTCCCAAAAATGATCGTATTCTTCCACTTCTCGAAGATATGCTTCATCTTCAGGATCACGCACCGGATACGGTTGTTGAGGTTGATACTGAGGAGATTGTTGCTGAAGTTGATATTGGACGGGTTGCTGTTGAAGCTGATATTGGATAGGTTGTTGTTGAAGCTGATATTGGACGGGTTGCTGTTGAAGCTGATATTGGACGGGTTGCTGTTGAAGCTGATATTGGATAGGTTGTTGTTGAAGCTGATATTGGACGGGTTGTTGAGGCTGATATTGGTTGGGTTGCTGAGGTTGATATTGGGTAGGTTGCTGAGGTTGATATTGGGTAGGTTGCTGAGGCTGAGGTTGATATAGGGTAGGTTGTTGATGCTGTTGAGGTCGATATCGGAGTGATTGTTGCTGAACTTTGGGTAAATATTGGGAAGATTGTTGATCAAATTGATATTGGAGAGATTGTCGTTCAGGTTGATCATTTTGTTTATAATATTGTTTTGCCGGGGTTACCAAAATATTTTGCACCGCGGGTTGTGCATGCGCATTTGGACTATTCTAGAAAAAAAGATGACAAAATTGAATCTTGACATATAGCTAGTTTATTTGCTATAAATTGATTGGTAAATGGTAGGAATTTAAATTAATTTTCTTTCAAAACTAACTAAGAAAGTCGGTTGCTCAAATTGTTGTTGTTGTTGTTGTTGTTGTTGTTGTTGTTGTTGTTGTTGTTGTTGTTGTTGTTGTTGTTGTTGTTGTCGCTGTTGTTGCTGCTATAATTGTAAAATATTAGAAATGCATTAATGAATAATAATAATAATAATAATAATAATAATTGATTATATTTCATCAGATTTGAAGAAAATTATTTATTATAATCTATTCGTCTAGAATTAGATTTAGTGACAAATGGTGACACTATTCAATTTATTTATTTGTTTGAAAAAAAAATATATATATATAATTGTAAACTATCAGAAATGCATTAATGATTAATAATAATTAATTCTATTTCATTAGATTTGAAGAATAATTATTTATTATAATCTATTCGTCTAGAATTAGATTTGGTGACAAATGGTGACACTATTCAATTTATTTATTTGTCTAAAAAAAAAAAAAGAAAAAAAAAATACCTTTTCGTGAAATTTTTCAGGAATTGAATTCTTTGATATTAATTTTTGTGATAATTTAGGATAATTCATTTCAGTATCATATTGCTGTAATTCAAATTCATCTCTTTTCTTTGGCAATGAATTAGCATATGGTACTGATTTAGATTTGATGACAGTTGATGTGACAATTTTATTGCGGTCAATTTGACCATCACGAAGGATGACACGAATATTTGGCTTAATTGTAGTTCGATCTAAACTTCCATTTTCATATTGTTGCCATTCTGATAACTGGAGAGCACTTTCATTATCAGATTTATGCTCCGTTACTCGTACCGGAATCACCTGTACCGGTGAATGATCTGATCGTGGAAAAATTCTGTGCGGTTTTTCTCTGTATGCATCAGATACTACAATTAAAATAATTTACATCATCCGTAATTTAGATGTAACTAATTAATTAATTAAATTCTGATATGATCGTACTATTGCATATAAATATCATTTATATCATCCGTAATTTAAGAATAATTAATTAAGTTCTGATATGATCGTACTGTAATTAAAACTAATTAATTAAGTTCTGATATAATCGTACTGTTATGCATAAATGTCATTTATATCATCCGTAATTTAAGTATAATTAATTGATTAATTCTGATATAATCGTACTATTGTATATAAATATCATTTACATCATCCGTAATTTAGGTATAAATAATTAATTAATTAATTAAATTCCGATATGTTCGTGCTCTTATACATAAATATTATTTATATCATCCGTAATTTAGGTATAAATAATCGATTAAATTCTGATATGATTGTACTCTTATATACAATTATCATTTAATATTATCCGCAATTTAAGTATAATTAATTAATTAATTAAATTCTGATATGATCGTATTGTTATATGTGAATATCATTTACATCAGCCATAATTTAGGTATAATTAATTAATTAAATTCTGATATGATTGTACTCTTATATACAATTATCATTTATATTATCCGCAATTTAAGTATAATTAATTAATTAAATTCTGATATGATCGTATTGTTATATGTGAATATCATTTACATCAGCCATAATTTAGGTATAAATAATTAATTAAATTCTGATATGATTGTACTCTTATATACAATTATCATTTATATTGTCCGCAATTTAAGTATAATTAATTAATTAATTAAATTCTGATATGATCGTACTGTTATACATAAATATTATTTATATCATCCGTAATTTAGGTATAATTAATTAATTAAATTCTGATATGATTGTACTCTTGTATTATCTTCTATTATCATATACAAGTACCATTTATATTGTCCTCAATTTAAGTATAATTAATTAATTAATTAAGTTCTGATATAATCGTATTGTTATATGTGAATATCATTTACATCAGCCGTAATTTAGTATAATTAATTAATTAATTAAATTCTGATATGATCGTACTATTACATATAAATATCATTTATCTTCTACTTCACAAAAAAAAATTATTTTTTTATCATTTTTGAATTATTTAACAATTTAATTGCTTCATAAATTATGAAAATAATAGAGTAAGATAAATTCAAAAAAAGGAAAAAAATTTACCAAAATTGAAATTTTTTTTTGCAAATCTATCATTTTCACCAGAAATTAAAACTTGCAATCGAGTGAGTGTTGATGATTTTACATTTGGATTCAATTCTATTGTTTCTAAAATTTCAACTTTTTTTTTTTTTTAAAGTGAAAATTTAAAAAAAAAAAAGAAATAATATTTGACACATAGAAATAAATAATTGAGAAATTATAAGATGAAATATTTAATTAGCAACAATAAAATATTTGGTAGAAATATTGCAAACAACAAAATAAATAAATAAATAAATAAATAAATAAATAATTGAAATGAAATTAATAATTGTATATTATAATTAAAAATAGCAAAATTATTGTTAACTTATTAAAAAGTAAAAAAATAAAACTACAAATTTAATTTATTAATTAAACGTACCTTTGGTATTAGTAATTGTTGTTGTTGTTGTTGTTGTATCATTAAATGAAGGTATTTCTAATTCTGATGAGGTTATTATCTTTAAAATAAATAAATTAAATAAAATTTATTAATATTTACTCTTATTTATTAAAAAAATTTACAAAAAAAAAATTTTAAAAAAGATTTAAAAAAAAAAATTTTTTTTAAAATATTACTTTATTATAATTAATAGATTCAGTTGATAATAATTTGGCATTGTTTTTATTTTGTTTACGTAGGAAATTAGTTGCAATTATATTTTCTTCGTGAATGTTTGTTTGTTTCTCATCCTGAAATTATATTTTGTTTGTTTTAAGTTCAAAAATTTGAAATGAAAAGTAGAAATTATGTTAGCTGCGCAAATGCAGCAATGCAATTTGCGCCGATATATTACTTTACTTTACTTTATTTTACTTTACTTTACTTTACTTTAACATGCAAGAAATAGTTGCTGAAATTGTAAGCAAATATTTGTTTGTGATTCATTATCATATGTGATTAACTGTACTGATAAAAAATGATAAGCATAACTGCTTCTGTTATACTTTTGTTATCATTAGAATATTCAAAAGTGATAATTGATCGTTATCAGAAGTGATAATGTATTGTTATCAGAAATGATAATATGTTGTTATCAGAAATGGAAATGAATCAATGCATTAATTGTTGATTAAATCATAGAAATGATAGTGTATTGCTATCAGAAATGATAATGTATTGTTATCAGAAATGATAATTGCGCTATTATCAGAAGTGGTAATATGTTGTTATCAGAAATGGAAATGAATTAATGCATTAATTGTTGATTAAATCATAAAAATGATAGTGTTTTGCTATCAGAAATGATAATGTATTGTTATCAGAAATGATAATGTATTGTTATCAGAAATGATAATGCATTGTTATCAGAAATGGAAATGAATCAATGTATTAATTGTTGAATAAATCATAAAAATGATAGCGTATTGTTATCAGAAATGATAATTGCGCTATTATTAGAAATGATAATATGTTGTTATCAGAAATGGAAATGAATCATTGTATTAATTACTGATTAAATCACAAAAATTATAGTGCATTGTTATCAGAAATGATAATGTATTTTTATCAGAAATGATAATGTATTGTTATCAGAAATGATAATTGCGCTATTATCAGAAGTGGTAATATGTTGTTATCAGAAATGGAAATGAATTAATGCATTAATTGTTGATTAAATCATAAAAATGATAGTGTTTTGCTATCAGAAATGATAATGTATTGTTATCAGAAATGATAATGTATTGTTATCAGAAATGATAATGCATTGTTATCAGAAATGGAAATGAATCAATGTATTAATTGTTGAATAAATCATAAAAATGATAGCGTATTGTTATCAGAAATGATAATTGCGCTATTATTAGAAATGATAATATGTTGTTATCAGAAATGGAAATGAATCATTGTATTAATTACTGATTAAATCACAAAAATTATAGTGCATTGTTATCAGAAATGATAATGTATTTTTATCAGAAATGATAATGTATTGTTATCAGAAATGATAATTGCGCTATTATCAGAAATGGTAACATGTTGTTATCAGAAATGGAAATGAATTAATGCATTAATTGTTGATTAAATCATAAAAATGATAGTGTTTTGCTATCAGAAATGATAATGTATTGTTATCAGAAATGATAATGTATTGTTATCAGAAATGATAATGTATTGCTATCAGAAATGATAATGCATTGTTATCAGAAATGGAAATGAATTAATGCATTAATTGTTGATTAAATCATAAAAATGATAGTATCAGAGATGATAATGTATTGTTATCAGAAATGATAGTGTGTTGTTATCAGAAATGATAATGTGCTGTTATCAGAAATGGTAGTGTATTGTTATCAGAAATGATAATGTATTGCTATCAGAAATGATAATGCATTGTTATCAGAAATGGAAATGAATCAATGTATTAATCACTGATTAAATCGCAAAAATGATAATTTACTGTTATCAGAAATGATAATATATTGTTATCAGATTAATGTGTCTATTATTACTATTACATGATAAGAAAAATAATCACTAATCAGCGTTAATAAGACATACAATTACTTCTATACGCAAACGTTATCACTCGTAAATATACAGTGATAAGAGTTAACATATGCAAAGTATGCGTAACAGTAACTGATAACACTTATCACTGCTACATTTATTAATTAAATAACAGATAAATGTTAGTAATATTAGCTTTTTTTTTTTTTTTAAACTTATTTATTTTCATTTTCTTATCTATTTTTTAAAAATTTCAATTTTTTTTTTTTAAAATTTATTTATTTTTTAATTTTATTAATTATTTTTAAAAAAAAAAAATTTTTAAATTTATTAAAATGAATGAAACAAAAAAATTAAAACATACAGGATAAAAATCATAATCATCATAAATAATTGGACCATCAGCAGCACGTATACGTGTTCCACGTGTTTCACGTGAATTTCCATCATTTCGATTTAATCGATCTTCTTCATAAATCTATAAATATAAATTAGAAAATTATTATAAATTTAATTTTTTTTTTTAAAAAAAAAAGAAAAAAACTTTTTTACTTGATTTGTTTCAGTTTGAAATTTTGTTTTTTTAATTTCTTTTATTGTTGCATTCTTCTTGATTAGACTACCATCCGGTGCAAACATTCCTTCATAGATTGATTCATGTTGTGGTGGTAATTCCGGTATTGTATTGATACCTTTTTAAAAAATTTAAATTTTTATTTTTTCAAAAAAAAAATTTTAATTTTGAAAAAAAAAATTTACAAGTTTTAATTTAACAATAATGCTCCTTTTGTTTTTTCCTTCAATAATTACAAGATTATTTTTTTTTTTAAATTTTTTGATTTTTTTTTTGACGATTGAAATTTAAATTTAAATTATTTTTAAATAGTAATTTATTAAATTTTTTTAATGATTAACATTTTTTTTTGATTTTTTTTTGACGATGTTGTTGAAATTTAAATTAGCAAATATAAACTTATTTTAAAAAATTTAAAAGAAAAAAAATTATCAAATGTAAACTTATTTGTTAGCATTTCTCTTTTTTTCAAATGTAAACTTACCTTCGTTATTTATTAATCTGCTTAAGGTTATCAAAATTTAAATTTATTCATTAGCTTTTTTTTTTAAATCTATTCAAAATTCTCGATTCTAAACTTACTTATCAGCATTTTTTTTAAATTTATTCAAAATTCTCGAATTTAAACTTATTTATTAACTTTTTTTAAAATCTATTCAAAATTCTCGAATTCAAACTTATTTATTAGCCTTTTTTTATAAAATCTATTCGAAATTCTCGAATTCAAACTTATTTATTAACCTTTTTTTTATAAACAATCTATTTAAAAATCTCGAATTTAAACTATTTGTTAGTCTTTTTTTATAAAATCTATTCGAAATTCTCGAATTTAAACTTATTTATTAGCTTTTTTTTATAAAATCTTTTCAAAATTCTCGAATTTAAACTTATTTATTAGCATTTTTTTTAAAGCCTATTCAAAATTCTCGATTTTAAACTTATTTACTAGCCTTTTTTTATAAAATCTATTCAAAATTCTCGAATTTAAACTTATTTATTAACTTTTTTTTATAAAATCTATTTAAAATTCTCGAATTTAAACTTATTTATTAACCTTTTTTTTATAAAATCTATTCAAAATTCTCGAATTTAAATTTATTTATTAGCCTTTTTTTATAAAATCTATTCAAAATTCTCGAATTTAAACTTATTTATTAGCATTTTTTGTTTTAAACCTATTTAAAATTATCGAATTTAAACTTATTTATTAGCCTTTTTTTTGTAAAATCTATTCAAAATTCTCGAATTTAAGCTTATTTATTAGCATTTTTTTTAAAGTCTATTCAAAATTCTCGAATTTAAACTTATTTATTAGCATTTTTTTATAAAATCTATTCAAAATTCTCGAATTTAAACTTATTTATTAACTTTTTTTTATAAAATCTATTTAAAATTATCGAATTTAAACTTATTTATTAGCCTTTTTTTTTGTAAAATCTATTCAAAATTCTCGAATTTAAGCTTATTTATTAGCATTTTTTTTAAAGTCTATTCAAAATTCTCGAATTTAAACTTATTTATTAGCATTTTTTTAAAACCTATTCAAAATTCTCGAATTTAAACTTATTTATTAGCCTCTTTTTTATTAGCCTTCCATTCAAAATTCTTGAATTTAAACTTATTTATTAGCATTTTTTTTAAATCTATTCAAAATTCTCGAATTTAAACTTATTTATTAGCTTTTTTTTATAAATTCTATTCAAAATTCTCGAATTCAAACTTATTTATTAGCCTTTTTTTATAAAATCTATTCAAAATTCTCGAATTTAAACTTATTTATTAGCCTTTTTTATAAAATCAATTCAAAATTCTCGGATTTAAACTTATTTATTAGCCTTTTTTTTATAAAATCTATTCAAAATTCTCGAATTTAAACTTATTTATTAGCTTTTTTTTATAAAATCTATTCAAAATTCTCGAATTTAAACTTATTTATTAACTTTTTTTTTAAATCTATTCAAAATTATATAATTTTAAAAGCATAAAAAACCAACCATAGGTATCAATATTTGGTGGTGGTGGTAATTTAATCAATGGTAAGGTGAATAACCTTAACAGAGGTGCAATTGTGGTACGATTTGGTGCAATTGGTGATTCGGTTGTAATTTCTTCTTCCATATCTAAAATTTAAAAAAAAAAAATGAAAAAAGAAAAAGCATTGCTAATTACATACAAATTTAATAGTATTTAAAAATTGACTGATTAAAATTGAAATTTGTTTAATTACATAAAATAAGTAATTAATTAAATTAAACTTATTTTACATTTTTTTAAAATTCAGTTTACTTTTCTAAAAAAAATGCAACTTTAATTAGTAATATTTCATAAAAAAAAAAAACTCTTTTTTTGAATGAAATTTTATTTAATTATTTATTCAAAGTATAATTTGAAAAATCTAAAAACTATTTTAAATTATTTTAAACTTAGTTTTTTTTTTTTCTTATTTTCCTTAGATTATTTTATTGTAAAATATCATTTTACATCCTTTTTGATTATTTTCAATTTAAAATTTTGATCATTTTTAATTTAATTTAAAAATTTAAAATTTAAAATGTCGACGAATTGTGTCAATTTCTAAATTGATTTTGTTTTTATTCAAAAAAAAAAAAAAAATGGAATATTTCATTATTGAAGGACCTTAAAGTTCAAAACAACAATTTAGCTGTTTATTTGTTTATTTATTTATTTGTTTATTTGTTTATTTATTTATTTACTATTTTTTATTCAATTTTTGCTAAAATTTAATGTATTAATTTATTTAATTCAAAATTATTTTTCTTTCAAATTCTTTCTTGTTTTATTTATGAAGAAAAAAAAACTTTATTTTGATAAAGGTATAAGAGATTTACCGGTGGAATTTTATTTGATAAAAATATAAACGAGATTTACCGGTAGATTTACCGGTGGAATCTTGTTATCATAAAAATATAAGAGATTTACCAGTGGAATTTTATTATCATAAAATTATAAGAGATTTACTGGTGGAATCTTGTTATCATTAAAATATAAAACAGATTTACCGATGGAATTTTATTTGATAAAAATATAAAAGAGATTTACCGATAGATTTACCGGTGAAATTTTATTATCATAAAAATACAAACGAGATTTACCGGTAGATTTACCAGTGGAATCTTGTTATCATAAAAATGTAAACAAGATTTACCAGTGGAATTTTGTTATCATAAAGCTATAAAAGAGATTTACCGGTGGGGTTTTGTTATCATAAAGCTATAAAAGAGATTTACCGGTAGATTTACCAGTGGGATTTTATTATCATAAAATTATAAAAGAGATTTACCGGTAGACTTACCGGTGAAATTTTGTTGTCATAAAATTATACCGGTGGAATTTTGTTATCATTAAAATATAAAACAGATTTACCGATGGAATTTTATTTGATAAAAATATAAAAGAGATTTGCCGGTGGATTTACCGGTAGAATCTTGTTATCATAAAATTATAAAAGAGATTTACCGGTAGATTTACCAGTGGAATTTTATTATCGTAAAATTATAAAAGATTTGCCGGTAAAATCTTGTTATCATAAAATTATAAAAGAGGTTTACCGGTAGACTTACCGGTGAAATTTTGTTATCGTAAAATTATACCGGTGGAATTTTGTAATCATTAAAATATAAAACAGATTTACCGGTGAAATTTTATTTGATAAAAATATAAAAGAGATTTACCGGTGGATTTACCAGTGGAATTTTATTATCATAAAAATATAAACGAGATTTACCGGTAGACTTACCGGTGAAATTTTGTTGTCATAAAATTATACCGGTGGAATTTTGTTATCATTAAAATATAAAACAAATTTACCGGTGGAATTTTATTTGATAAAAATATAAAAGAGGTTTACCGGTAGATTTACCAGTGGAATTTTATTATCATAAAAATATAAACGAGATTTACCGGTGGAATTTTTTATCATAAAGCTATAAAAAAGATTTACCGGTAGATTTACCAGCAAAATTTTATTTTCATAAAAATATAAACAAGATTTACCGGTAGATTTACCAGTAAAATTTTATTATCATAAAAATATAAAAGAGATTTACCGGTAGACTTACCGGTGAAATTTTGTTGTCATAAAATTATACCGGTGGAATTTTGTTATCATTAAAATATAAAACAGATTTACCGATGGAATTTTATTTGATAAAAATATAAAAGAGATTTGCCGGTGGATTTACCGGTAGAATCTTGTTATCATAAAATTATAAAAGAGATTTACCGGTAGATTTACCAGTGGAATTTTATTATCGTAAAATTATAAAAGATTTGCCGGTAAAATCTTGTTATCATAAAATTATAAAAGAGGTTTACCGGTAGATTTACCAGTAAAATTTTATTATCACAAAAATATAAACAAGATTTACCGGTAGATTTAATAGTAAAATTTTATTATCATAAAAATATAAACAAGATATACCGGTAGATTTACCAGTGGAATGATTGGGTAACGGTGGTAAGCCATAAAGTTTCGTTCTTTTGGGAATTGTAACAAATGGTAATTTGGGTAAAAAATGCGATGTATGTTGCGGGTAAAATATTTTAGCAATCGTAGTGATATCTCGTAATCCGGGTAACTGTAAAATGAGAATATAAAAAAAAAAAAAACAAAATAAATAAATTTGTAATTTATTTTTCATTTATTTATTTTATTTTTTCTTTCATTGTTAAAAAAAAATTTTAAATCTTTTCAAAATTTTTCAAAAAAAAGTAAATTCATTAAATTATTATTAAAAAAAAAAAAATTAATCTTTATCATACTATTAACAATAAATTGAATACTTAAATATCACATTAAATTCAATACTTAAATTATTAATTTAAATGTTTTAATAAATTTACTAAATTATACATTAAAGTTTTTTTTTAACAAAAAAAAAATTAATTAATTAATTAAAAAATTAAAATAAAAACTCTTACTTTTTGTGAATTGCTTAGCATACATATTGTTGTAAATAGTATTGTAAATAAGTATAATGAATAAAGATTCATTACCTTAAAAAAAAAAAATGAAAGAAAAAAGGAAAAATTTTTTAAAAACTTTTTAAAAAATTAAATTTACAAAAAAAAAAAAAAAATTATATAAATAAACAAAAAGAAAAAAAAAATTGTCACATTTAAATTACAAAGAATTAAGCACAAATATATTTAATTATTAAAAAAAACAAAAAAAAAATTATTTTTTTTAATATTACCAATAATTATTTTTACAATTTATATTACAATTAATAAAATTCTTTTTTTTTCCTTTTTCATATTATTTAAATTATTTATTTTTAAAATTTAAAAAAATTCTTTAAATCTTTCCTTTTTCTTTTTTAATTTGTAAAATTAGAAAAAAGAAAAAAGAATTTATAAAGAATTGAAATGAAAAAAAAAAATTTTTTTTTTTTTAAATAGTTTAAATTAAAATGATAAATGTTAAATGAATTAAGCATATAATTGACACTGTTTGAATAATAATTATCATTGTTTGGTGATAAAAATTATCAATTGATAATAGATTAAACAATGGAACTGATAAGATAAATGAATTAATTATTGGAGAGATAATTTAATTAAAGCAAAAATGTAGAAACAGGACTTATCAATGTCCATTGACAATATTTTTATAGCTCTTGATAATGATAATGTGGACATAAAATCTATTTCCATTCATCTTCAAAAATAAAACCTGTTTCTCTCAGAGAGAGAGAGAGAGAGAGAGAGAGGGGAAAGAGAGGGAGAGGGAGAAAAAGGAGAGAGGGGACACAAGAATTTGACAAAGTGGACAGCAAATGCGGGGAATAGATGTGAGAGGAAGATGATAAGAAATGAAAAAATTTACATAAAGTGTGATAAATGAATACGTTGTGTTACACCTGTTTCTCTCAGAGAGAGAGAGAGAGGGAGAGAGGGGAAAGAGAGGGAGAGGGAGAAAAAGAAGAGAGTGGACACAAAAATTTGACAAAGTGGACAGCAAATACGGGAAATAGATGTGAGAGAAAGATGACAAGAAATGAAAAAATTTACATAAATTGTGATAAATGAATACGTTGTGCTACATCTGTTTCTCTCAGAGAGAGAGAGAGAGGGAGAGAGAGGGAGGAAAGAGAGGGAGAGGGAGAAAAAGGAGAGAGGGGACACAAAAATTTGACAAAGTGGACAGCAAATACGGGAAATAGATGTGAGAGAAAGATGACAAGAAATGAAAAAATTTACATAAATTGTGATAAATGAATACGTTGTGCTACATCTGTTTCTCTCAGAGAGAGAGAGGGAGAGAGGGGAAAGAGAGGGAGAGGGAGAAAAAGGAGAGAGGGGACACAAAAATTTGACAAAGTGGACAGCAAATACGGGAAATAGATGTGAGAGAAAGATGATAAGAAATGAAAAAATTTACATAAAGTGTGATAAATGAATACGTTGTGTTACACCTGTTTCTCTCAGAGAGAGAGAGAGAGAGAGGGAGGAAAGAGAGGGAGAGGGAGAAAAAGGAGAGAGGGGACACAAAAATTTGACAAAGTGGACAGCAAATACGGGAAATAGATGTGAGAGAAAGATGATAAGAAATGAAAAAATTTACATAAATTGTGATAAATGAATACGTTGTGCTACATCTGTTTCTCTCAGAGAGAGAGAGAGAGGGAGAGAGAGGGAGGAAAGAGAGGGAGAGGGAGAAAAAGGAGAGAGGGGACACAAAAATTTGACAAAGTGGACAGCAAATACGGGAAATAGATGTGAATGAAGGTGACAGAAAGATGATAAGAAATGAAAAAATTTACATAAAGTGTGATAAATGAATACGTTGTGCTACGCCTGTTTCTCTCAGAGAGAGAGAGAGAGAGAGAGAGGGAGGGAGAGAGAGAAAAAGGAGAGAGAGGACACAAGAATTTGACAAAGTGGACAGCAAATGCGGGAAATAGATGTGAGAGAAAGATGACAAGAAATGAAAAGATATGAAAAATTTTGCATAAATTGATAAATAAATATGATCAATGAAAATTATTATTGAAAAAGATCAATAAATAATCAATAAATGATAATAAATTAATCAATAAGTGATAAAAATGATAATGATAGTGTAACAATGAGAATGTTGATATGATTAAATTAAATAAAAAAGAATAATTTGATTAATAGATAATCAATAAATGATAACAAATTAATCAATAAGTGATAAAAATGATAATGATAGTGTAACAATGAGAATGTTGATATGATTAAATTAAATAAAAAAGAATAATTTGATTAATAGATAATCAATAAATGATAACAAATTAATCAATAAGTGATAAAAATGATAATGATAGTGTAACAATGAGAATTTTGAAATGATTAAATTAAATAAAAACGAATAATTTGATCAATAAATAATCAATAAATGATAATAAATTAATCAATAAGTGATAAAAATGATAATGATAGTGTAACAATGATAATGTTGGAATATGATTAAATTAAATAAGCATTAATTAGTATGAATTTAATTATCAATAAAATGACAAAAATTATTAAATGAATAAAAAAAAAATAATAATAATTTAAAAATAACCTAAATTTAATAATTAAATAACCAAAAACAAAAATGAAATAATTAATGAAGTAAACAGTTAGTGTGTAAATTTAAACAATAGGAAATGATAAAGTGACAATAAAAAATTTTGGTGACAAACAAGTTGACAATTTCGTTCTTCTTTTCATTTTCACAAATTGTTAATTTAAAAAAAAAAAAGAAAAAGAAAGAGAAAAAAAAAATAATTTCTCTAATTAAATGAATTATTCTGAATGTAACTGACGTACACGTATCCGTCTACGTATACACGTATACATGTATGCATTTAAACGTTTATACGTATATAAATATGCGTGAAAGTGTATAACTAAAGTGTATCCGTAATTTAATTTAAACGTGTACGTGTTCTATACGTTTTTTTGTAAATTAAAGTGAAATTAATATGGATGAAATCAGAATTTAATTTAAAATTATTTAATTGAATTTAATTTGTCCGTAAGTTAATTTAAACGTGTATATGTTATGTACGTTTTTTTGTAAATTTACGTGAAATCAATATGGAAAGAATTGGAGAATCAATGAATTGTTCTGGATGTAACCGACGTATACGTGTTCGTTTATGTATACACGTATAGATGTGCACATTTAAACACTTCCACGTATATAAATACACGTGAAAGTGTATAATTAAAATGTATCCGTAATTAATTTTAAACGTGTACGTGTTATGTACTTTTTTTTGTGAACTAAAATGAAATTAATATGGATGGAATCGAAATTTAATTTAAAATTATATAATTTCAATTTAATGAATATAAAATTATTAAAATTATTTAATTTAATTAAATTTAATTTAAAATTATTCAATTTGAATTTAATTTGTCCGTAAGTTAATTTAAACGTGTACATGTTATGTACGTTTTTTGTAAATTTACGTGAAATCAATATGGAAAGAATTGGGGAATCAATGAATTGTTCTGGATGTAACCGACGTATACGTGTTCGTTTATGCATACACGTATACATGTACATATTTAAACGTGCATACGTATAAAAATATACGTGAAAATGTACAATTAAAGTGTGTCCGTAAGTTAATTTAAGCGTGTACGTGTTACGTATGTTTTCTTTCTGTTTTTTGTAAATTTACGTGAAATCAATATGGAAAGAATCGAAGAATCAATGAATTGTTCTGGATGTAACCGACGTATACGTATACATGTACATATTTAAACGTATATACGCATATAAATATACGTGAGAATTTATGATTAAAGTGTGTCCGTAAGTTAATTTAAACGTATACGTGTTACGTGCGTTTTTTTCTTTTTTTTTGTAAATTTCAATATGGAAAGAATCAAAAAATCGTAGTAAAAATAAATTAAATTAAAAAATTAAATTAGTTAAAATTTTTCTTTTTTTTTTCATCTTCAACAACTATAATCATTGTATTTCTTCAAATTTTTTAATGACCAAAAATTGAAGTTTAATTAATGGTCAAAAAAAAAAAAATGGAAAGCTAATTGATGAAAAATAATTGATTAAAAAAAAAAATAGAAAAAGAAAACTCTTTGTTAAATATTTTTAAAATTTTTCTTGTCTTTTCTTTTTTTTTAAAAAAAAAAAAAAAAGGAAAAACCTGAATTTAAATCTTATTAATATTAACAAATTTGTCTGAATTATTGTTTCAGCAAATAGAAACAAAATTTTTTTTTAATTAAAATTAAAAAAAAACAATTGAATAAATTATCAGAATAATTAAATTCGTTTAAAATTAATTATATTTTCAGTTTATAATTTTAAAAAATAATAATAAAAAATAAATTTTTATTTTACATATGAATGATTTATTTTTTTTAAAAAAAAAAAAAATTAATTTTGGTAAAAAAAAAAGAAAATCTGAAGAAAAATATGTAAACTGATATGATACTGGAGTAAATACGTACGTACGTGATGATTTTTTTTTGGCGCACGTGAAGATTTGATTATGATAATTAGTATATTTTATATAAGTTGCATTAAATCAAAATAAAAATTTTTATTGGATTAAAAAGTTGAAATTAATTGATTGAAAATAAAATTATTCATTTATTATATGAAATGCAAATTAGACTAATTTTACAATTTTAATTAATTTATTTAATTTTATAGATAATAATTTTTTTGATTTAGCAAATAGTTTCAAAGAAAAGAAAATTTCAAATTAGTTTTTTAAAATTTTTTTTTTTTGATTGTAAATTTTTGATAATAAATATTTAATTTATAGAAAATTATATTCTAAAATTTTATTAAATTATCAATTTTTTAGAAAATTTGCAGTGGAAATTTTTAAACTATCAAATAACTAATAAATTTCACTAAAAAATTTGTTAAGTAATTAATTAAGTATAACTAAAGTTACAATAATAATTAGATTAATTAATTAATTAACTAATTAATCCATAATTAAATCAGAAATAATAAGATAGTTTGAATATTTCTATTCCTACTAAATAGA